AAAATATATATATATATATATATATATATATTTAAACTATAATTTATATTTTTAAAATATATATATATTACTATTTTATATTATTATTATTTTTCAAATATATATAGCATATTATTGTTAATAAATACAATATATATTTTAGAATATATATATATATATATATATATATATATATATATATATTACTATTTTATATATATATTTTAAAAATATATGTTTAAAATATAATTTATATTTATATTTTTAAAATATATATATATTTCTATTTTATATTATTATTATTTTTCAAATATATATAGTATATTATTGTTAATAGATACAATATATATTTTTAAAATATATATATATATATATTATTGTTATTTTTCAAATATATATTTTTCACGTCTATATAATATTTAACAAAAATTCTTCGGTAGTTCTAGTATCAACAGCGAATTTTTTGCATTTCACCTTTAAGATAAACTCAAATTGTATTTTGAATTTGCCAGGTACTTTTGTTTTATTTTATAATAATTTCAATGACCGAAGCATTACAGGAAAAGTTTCCATTAAAATTATTTTCTGTTTGTGCATTTCAGTTCTCTCTTGTACATTTTAAAGCTTTATTTGCCGTTTATCATATCTCTTTGTTTTATTATCTTTTTTAACTTCATAACGATGTTTCATAGTGATTTCCTCAAGGTACTTCTGTCCTTTTGTTCTTTTATTTCTTTCTCCTTTTTCATGAATATTAAGCTCTTTGGAAACTTGTTTAGATCAAATTAGGCTTCTTTCACAAAATTCACTTTTTGAATAATAAGAATCATGCGTCACAGGGTTCGGGCATCAAGATTTTAGAAATGCTTAGGTACGGCCAAAAAAAAGGATCGAAAAAACACTGATTTAATTCGTGACGAGAGTGACATTGACAAGAGCAGGCTATTCTCAACGCCAATGCGTTCCAACTAATCTCGCGAATTACGCTCGCCGAACGGAGTTGATCGTAATTTGTATTTTCGGGAGTGGGAATCAAGTTTGCCGACAACTTGAATGACAAACACGGAGGTACAAGATGGAGCTTTCGTAATGAACGAGGCTCGAGGAACTTTGGCAGGGAAACTCTTACATTTCGCGGCAAACACATTTCCCCGCCCCTGCCCGTGAAATCGATCGTACTCCGTTTGTTCTCGGTTCGATTGTTCAAAGGACGTAAATTTAAAGTACACACGGAAACTTTAACGCACGACCGGGACAATCCACTTGACCTGTTACGCCCCCTCGGTAACTTGCCGATTTTCAACCTTGCTGGGTTTCGTCGGTGCGTGGAGAAATCAATCGTCTATACCAATTTCGATTCCACTTGATATTGTTGTTATTTAACAACGTACGTGGATGTACGACGAGCGTCCGAAAATATCGGAATCAAGGGGAAAAATTCTCGAGCGGTCTCGAGATTTTTCCCCCCAAGACGCGTTTCCCGGATGCTCGGTCGTACGACAGAGATCTCCTTCGGGATCCAGTTTCAGAGTCAAGGACTTAAAAGCCGTCCGTTCGATGAAGTTCGGACACTGGTCGGGAGTTGGACACTTAGCCGTCGTTTGTCGAAGTCGGGGTAGGCGGCTCCCAACGAACACACCGCGGCCGGCTTTTCTCATGCAAGGAGGAGCAGATCGGCCGGGGCCATTAACGTTAAAACGTTTACTTTCGACAGTTGGGAAAGCAATCAAAAAGTGGCCGTTCCACGGGCATAAACGGTGGGGAGCTTTCGTCGTTTGAACTTTCCTCGTTCCTTCCGCGATCGAATCCCGAGCGAAAATTTAGGCGTGGCGGCAGCTAGACTCGCACGATCAGCCGATTGAAGACTGTTGTGACGTGAATTTAACGTTCGAATTTCCAGCCACTTCGCCGCACGTGTGAATTGAATCAGTGAAAGTTTCTCGCGGAAATATTCGAACGTTTGCAGCCATTCACGAACGTGAGAACATCTCGACATTTTATCATTTTAAACAAGTTTAATTAACAACGAGAACCGACTGTAATCGTGATTGTACACAGTATTGGCCAAGTAAGTCGAAACGAATTTAAAAGTGTGTTTAACATATAATTGGTCGACGTCATGAAAGAATTCAAACGAGAATTTATTATAAATATATTTCAACATTCACTGGGACCATATTTTAACGCTCAGTCTGACATAATAATTTCGTAACAAATATCTCGTAATTTCCCATTCTCAGATTAGCTTTGAACTTTTATCGATCGAATATTATCGATCGTGACGTCAAATTTTATCAATATTGCATCGATTGCGTCTCACACGTTGATAAAATGTCAAAGTGTTTAGTACAACGCGTATGTGTTTGAATTTAACGATAATACTCTCCCGATCTTTACGACGGAGTCATCGAGAGACCAACTTCATCAAACTCCTGAACAAACACATTCTGTGGAACGTGAGCGATTAGTTCCGTTAGCAACGTGATCGAGCGTTTTCCCTCTCCGTCTACAAGCTTCGCTTTATCGGCCGGATTTATTACTCGGTTGTTTCTTGCCTCATAATTGCCAGCCCGGTCGAATTCTGGTAAGCGAGTTCGATGTAGCCACGCGAATGGCATTAACGTGACACTTGGAGCTGTATATTATTTCATTCGCTTCAAGAGAGAGAGAGAGAGAAAGAGAGAGAGAGAGAGAGAGAGATTTACTCGCGTTTAACACGCTACTTTTGCACGAATGCCGCCGCGGAAACAATTTAATTCCCGTCGATCGATAATCCGGTACGAAACAAAGGCGCGAACGTTAAATTTCATTTCGCACCGTGACACCATCCGCTCGCGGCCGCGAACAATCCCTCTGACGAGAGGGGCCACGCACAAGAGGGTGGAAACGTTTGAATACACACGTCGATGCCCCTGTGACGTGAATGTTAACGTTACTCTGCTAACGAGAGCCACGTTACGCCGATAAAAAA